GGGCGTCCAGGGTGAGCATCAAGGGGTGCGGTTCAAGCGCGCAGCTAATGCGCGCAGAGTGGTTGCACCCCTTGACGCCCGTCCCTGGGTGTCTGCAGACCTGACCATTCGGCCCTATGCAACATTACGTCTTCAGCTTGAGCGCCCACGGTCATGTCGTCCTTTTCTCAGAGGCGGCGCTCGCGAGGGATAACTTTGGCTCAAAGGTCATGAAGACAATTGTTGGGTTGGGAGGATGGGCTTTGGAGAGGTGAGGATCTGATTACCCGTAGGCGGCCGAAGGTATCGTTCACTATATGGGGATGCTATTGTTCATACCCTTCATCCTCCCACCCCCTTCCTCCCAACACGATAAATGTTCTCCTCAAAAGGGGGACGCATCGACCCCCCGATCGCCGGTTGATCGCCGATAGGGGCCCGATAGCCCACCCCGCGCCGCCGCGGAACGCTCGAATTCGCTACGTGGGGCCTATCGCCGATCTGTCGGCGATGGATCGCCGATCCCAGGCCGATTGTTGCCCCCCCTGGGCCAGTCCCCCCTGACCGTTCCCCCTCATCACCGCGCATCGTTACGATGCCGTGGAGCTCCAGTACGGTAGGTTCGTGTCGTGTCGACTGGCGGCGTCCCCGCCAGCGGCGTTCAACGTCGAACGCCGCGGGCGGCCCAGAGTCGTTCGATGTGGAACGATTTGGACGTTTCGGAAACGGCCGATCGTTCAAGGTTGAACGATCCCCGCGGTGTCAGAAACCAGCGCCGGAGTCGGCACGACACGAACCTGCCGTACCCGAAGTGGAATTGCGCACTCGAGCGTCTGACCGCGTCAGCCCGACGGTTCGAGAGGACTCGCGGTCGCGCCCGTCGACGTACGCAGGCCCCTTTTTCTCGACACAGGTCAATCCGACGCGGATATCGATTCTGGCCGGCTCGGTCCGGTTCGATTCCAATCTTCGGTTGGTCCGTGGTGGCCTCCTCCTCTTCCTCCTCCTCCTCCTCCTCCTCCTCTTCGTCCCTTCTCCTCCTGGATGTGCGGCGTTGTGTTGCGCATCATGTTGCGGCCCATCGGGCTCGATTTCCACTCCGTGCCGACGCAGCTCGATCCGACGCGCCTTCCAAGTCGATCCGGTTTCCCGATGCGGCGCCGATCCTGCAGGTGAGGGTAAGACTCTGCCTGGCGGACGCCACGCTCCAGTGGGCGCCAGGCGTGCACAGATGGATGGGCGGAATCGCGAGGCTCCCCCAGACGTCGAAGGACGCCCCCACCCACCCACCCGAGGGATCGCAGCGGGCGGGGCGCGACGCTGGAAGCAGGAGCGGGGCGGTCCTGCCTGTTGAAGTTGAGGCGGGCAGGGGCGCGCGCGGGCGGGCGCGCGCGCCTCTCTCTCTCCGTCGCCACAGAGCTACCCCGAGACAAAAACATGGACCGTTGAACGAGTTAACGAGAAATGACTTAGAGTCGGACCCAGGACACTTCGGGATTCCCAACCTCGAGAGGCTGAGCGGCCACGAGAGACCAGGAGTCGGGCCTCCCTTTATCCCTTGGGTGCCGACCTCCTAGGAACGACTCGAGATTCCTGGCAGCACGGGCCGACATCTTGTAGGGTACAACGCAAGCAAGCATGAGGAGGCCTGCCTGCCCTGTGCAGCAATGTCCACACTGGGTGCACATGAGACCTTGCCCGGATGACACAAAGAGGCGGTGATCCCGCGAGTGAATGGGCAGCACGAGGCCACTCAGCGGGAGAGGCGCCGCAGGGATTTTGGCTTGATTCAGTGCGGGTCTTCCTCTGATCCCCGCCCCAGCACACCTGCGTTTGACAATCGGGCCTGGCTTTTGGGGCGGTGGTCGTGGAAACGAATTGACGGCTAGCTGCAGGTCTCCCGAGGCTCGGGGTTGCTTACTGGCCACAGGAGCGAGCGTGGCCCTCGGACGGACCGAGCGAAGACCCGCCGAGGAGGAGGATAGCAGCAGCGGCAGGGCCACTGCCCGTGCCTCGCTCGTGCTGGCCCGCCTCCATCCCAGGCATTCCGGCCGACGTGGCCGAGGGTCCCTCGTCACCTTCCGCCTCGACGGCGGAGGAGACCTAACCTTGCCAGAGCTGGCAGGATCCTCAGCCGCTCCCCCAGGCAAATGCCCCCCCCCCCAAAAAAAAGAACACCCTTCGAAGGCGGGTCGGCCTCCTGCTCAGGCACAGCAGCAATGGCAAGAGTGCGGGCAGGGCAGGCAAGGAGGGAGAGATGATCTCGGGTCTTTCTCCAGCTTTCGCCTCACTCATACAAAAGTTACACATGCAGATGTCTCTCTAGTGGGACTTGACTACAAACGTGCCGACGCTGGAGGTTCAAGGCGGATGGGTCAGGGTCATCAGGCTCCTGAGCCCTCTTGGTCCGTTTCTTGCGTGGCAGAGTGGCGCAGTTCCCAGCTTCAATCTGACTACCATACGCGGTGACCATCCGCCGAAGGCGCACATTCTTAGGGGCTATGTTCATAGCCTTCAGGGACAAGTCTCGGCCTTGGGTGGCGGCACAGTCCGCCCACCGATTACCCTTAGCGGATCAGCGAGCTCACCAGGGCCTCGCTGGTGGGCCTTGACATGCTCGGCGTGAAGGCCCAAGGAGGAGGAGGAGGAGGAGGATGAAGAGGAGGACGAGAAGGAGGAGGACGAGGAGGAGGAGGAGGAGCAGGAGGAGCAGGAAGAGGAGGAGAGAGCATTGGCTCCCTCAGGAGTCGCCCGCGCTCCTCGAGCAGACCCTGTCGGCAGACGGCGCCCCCGCCCGCGCGCGAGCGCCGCGACCTGACCCCGCCCGTATCGGCCCAGAGCTACAGTCACCGAGTGCCGCAGCAACCCGCTCCTGGGTGGGGGAGTTGGCCACAGCGCCTAAGTCGGTTTCAGTGCCATGTCGTTGTGGTTACAGCGTCCAGGCGCTATACGATTCCAGTGTATCAAGCCCGTTCGTCGAACAGTCTCAATGGAGGTTAGCAGAGGAGGGAGGAGGAGGAGGAGGAGGAGGAGGAGGAGGAGGAGGAGGAGGAAGAGGAGGAGGAGGAGGAGGAGGAGGAGAGATTGGTCATCAGAGGATGACGATGGGGCTGGTTGATGCCGTTCACGTTAGGGCGCCAAGCGCATGCGTTGCGGTGCATGCTGTACTTGAGGCGCGCAAGGGCAAGCCGAGGCAAGCGTGCATCGTACACGGGGCAGCGAAGCGTCCAGGGACCAGCGCGCCGTACAGGGAGGTATTGTTGTTCTCACCGATCCGCTCCCGTTTGCGCTCTGGCTGCTCCCATACCTTTCTCCGCCGTGTTGCCGCTGCGCGTCTCCCAGAGGCATAGTACAGCAGGCGCACAAAACAAGACATTGCCCTGCCAATGTGTGCACCACGGAAATGTCATATCTCCCGATCCGGCCGCATAGCCTTGGGACACCTAAGCTCAGAGTCGACAAATGATCTGCCCTTGGATTCCTTATGGCGATGTTTATTACCGTATGTGTCTACTATACTGTGCAAGGCTTGCTTGCTGTCCGAGCGGAGCTGAATTGAACTGAGCTCTTGCTCCCTCTGCTCGTCCTTCTGGTGCTCATCCCAGGTCCTCCCTCTCCTCTTACTTCTGTTGCTGCCTTGCTGCTCATCATCCTCTTACTTCTGTTGCTGCTCCCCCCTTTCGGGCTCACGAGGGTGAGATCATCGGCGCACCACAATCCGACGCCAGCGCCAAGATCTTTTCTGGGAAAAAAGTCTCGAGTCTCACTTGCATACCTTCGTCCGCGTCTTCGCGCTGGTGTACCCGATGGCAGAGAACTTGTTGAGGAAAGATGCAGGACGCCGTGGGCTCTCCCCCTCTTCCCTTCCAGCGAGCCACATAAGCCCAATGAGCACTGTGAGGCCTAGGGCCCTACGAGCCGCACGAGTCTTAAGATTCGGCCTTCGGGCTCAATGGGGTCTGCGATGATCTTGGGCCTTGGCGTACCCTCGGGCTTTAAGAAGCCCTGCTCACCCAACCAGCATCCACAGGGAAAGTGCCCCCAACTTTTCCAGTGGCGCCTTGGTGCTGGTACAGGCTTTTCGACCCCAGCATTGTCGGAAAGCCCACAGTAGCACCAAGACCCCCACTGGAACGGAGCCCCTGAGGGTGCGTGGTCCTCGGGGCCAACGACAGGGGGGGATTGGCATAGGGGGGGATGCATCGACCCCCAATCGCCCAGTCATCGCCGATGTGAGCCCGATAGCCCCAACCTGCTCAGGAACGTGCGGACTCACTACGATCTGTCGGCGACGCATCGCCGATTCGAGGCCGATGCCTCCCCCCCTTCTGCCTGCTCCCCCCTATCGGTGCCCCCAGTCCCGCGAGGACTTTGTCGGCGTGGCCCGGGCCTGAGGGCTGAGCACCTGCAGCGCTTGGCACGCTCCGCCCACGGCCTCGGCCCATTGATTCGGAGTCCAATATCGCCGTCCGATATCGCGAATGCTGATTGACCCCTTTCCTCTGCCAACGGATCAGGGGTTCTGTACCTTTGTACTCCAGCCCCATACACACTGGGGGTTGCTCGGGGAGGCTCTCCAGGCTCCAGCGCTCTTCCGCGGGCTGCCGAGCTCGGAGCTGGGTGGGCCTCCTCTCGTGGCGGGGGTCCCTCGAGCGAGGGCGGCTTCCTCCGCCCCCGGACGGTCCTCCCCCGCGACTCGGCGAGCCAGGACGGGCTCGATTCGGGCTCGAAACGCCATTCCAGAGGCAATGGACAAGCTACGCTCTTGGTGCTCCTCCCCGGCGGCGCCCATGGCGTCGTCACCGTGCCGAGGTTCAGAGGAGGTCGACGAGGTCGTCAGCGCAGGATGGGTCATTCCAGTCGATACCGATGCCGTTCTTGCGGACCACTCCGTGGCGATCAGAGGAGGCAAGATCGTGGGCGTCTTGCCGACCGCCGATGCCATCGCTAAGTACAAGACCAACAACTATACCTCGTTGCCGAACTCCGCCCTGATGCCAGGGTTCGTGAACACCCACAACCATTCCCCCATGGTCTACCTCCGTGGTGTCTCAGACGACGTCAACTTGCGCGATTGGCTGGAAAAGACGATATGGCCGCTGGAGTTCAAGTTCTGTGGACCCGAGTTTGTGCGTGACGGCTGCGAACTGGCAGTGGCCGAGATGATAATGGGCGGCACGACGACGTTCAACGACATGTATTGGTTCCCCGAATCTGTGTGTGAAGTGGTCAAGAGTTCCGGCATTCGCGCAGCTGTGGGAATCATTGCCATCGAATTCCCTTTCGGCAGCTACGGCACTGGTCCAGACGACTATTTGGAAAAGGGTCAGAAGACGAGGGAGCTCTTCGCCGGGGAGTCTCGGATCTCCTGGACTGTCAGCCTTCACGCGCCCTACACCTGTTCAGATGCCACGCTCGCGAAGGGCAAAGAGCTGAGCGACAAGCTGAACGTGCCCCTCCACATTCACCTGCACGAGACGCAGGCCGAAGTAGAGGACAGCATCACCCAGACAGCGTCTATGAGCAAGCACATGAGCGAGGAGAAGTGCAGCCCGCTAAAGAACATGAAGCGGCTCGGCATGGTCAACGAGCGCCTCGTGGCTGTGCACATGAACTGGCTGACTGATGAGGTCGAGGAACAACAAGTGGCATGCCGCATACGCTTCGGGAGGTCCGCGCGGACCTGTTGGGTCTCCGCTGGCCCCCCCTATCCTGGCGCGCGAAGCGCGCTGGGGCTGGCACTGGAGGTGCCGCCAGGGGGGCCCAGCACCGATCCAAGAAGTCCGCACTGACCTCCGAGAGTTTATGTGCGTGGCGTCTTTTTCTACCTCCAGAGGAGATTTCTGACCTGGCCCAGGCCAAGTCGAACGTGGTCCACTGCCCCGCATCTGGCCTGAAGCTCGGAAGCGGCATGTGCCGGACTGCAGATCTTCTCCAAGCCGGTGTCAACGTCGCGCTGGGCACCGACGGGGCCTCAGCGGCCCTTCAGCTCTCTACAGGCTCGGAGTTGTTTGTTCCCGACGCCAGTCCACGGACCCACGCCAGCTTACCAGCCAGTCACATCTCAGTGAGAGCGGTGTGAGCTGGGTTTGCACCAAATAGATTGCGCCACGTATATTGCACGACACAGCTTGCACCACATAGCTTGCACCCGCTTTCTACTGAGCGGCGGGTATCTTGTTGTTGCCCTGGTTTGAGCTCCTCGTCGCTGCTGTCGGACTCGGCTTCTGCTGGCGCCTGGGCGCGCTGGTTAAAGCGAGATGTCGCCCGAACCGCATCACACCAAGTCACTTATGAGGACGCAGAAGGCGAAGGCCAGCCATAATCACAAAAAGAAGCAACTTGTGAGGGCGCCTCAAGCGCAACAACAGCGCCCAACACAGGCCAGACCACGCAAATCGCAAGGACGTCTCAGGCGAAGCCGAGTCCAAAGCAGGTCCAGCCAGGCAAATCGCAAGGACGTGTCAGGCGCAATCGCGTCCACACCAAGCCAAACCAGGGAGACCGTGAGGATGTATTCGAATCCTGTGCGCCCACGGCCAACTGCGAGGACGTCTCAAGGTTGAACCGCGCCGAAACCAGGACACACCAGGCAAACTGCGAGGGCATCTCATGCGAAATCGCGCGAACACATACGAAACTAACACATAACGATGACGTCTCAGGCGAAACCGGTCCCAAACCAGGCCACGCCAGGGCGCAAACCATGCAATTCTGAGGCTGTCTCAAGCGGGACGCCCTGCCAGACCAGACCAAGCCAGGCAACTCCCGAGGATGCCCCGAGCAACGCGCCCTAAACCTTGCTCCGCCCAGTCCCACTGCTAAGGGTCCGTTCTAGCAGTGGATGACCCCAGAGGGTCCCGCCGCGTGGGGTCCTAAGGGGAGGGGCGCAACAGCATGCATTTGTTGTTCGGCGCGGTTCTATCAGAACGGCATCGCTCGCACAAGGGGCCGCTGTGTGGTTCGCGGCTCGTGGACATAATGTATTTTAGCGTCCCGCCTGTGCGGGTTGCAGGTTGAAAGTCCTCCGTCACATACTGAATCGGCTGGCAACTCCTCTTCTGCAAGAAGGATTCATGTAGAAGGGCCACATGACGGACCCTTACAGTAGACTTAAAGGGTTCTTCCTTCGGGCGCCCCCTCTGGCCGTCGGTGTCACCACATCCGCCGTGTCGCACAGCGTTTCCAAACGTTTGAATTGCGGGGCCCGGCACCGAACCGAAACCGAACACGGAATTTAACGAGGTTGTAGAAAGGAGGTGGAAACGGAAGATGCGGAGGAAGAGGAAGGCCGATGAGGATAGATGATGTGCCTTGGCGCATGCGGACGACCGTTGCTCAGATTGTGCCAAACGGTTTTTATCGGACCCGTTTTTTTGTTTGGGGGGGGTCTCTACCGGTCAGGTGCGATTTGTTGGCATTTCGTGCTGCAGGAATTCTGGAGAGGGTATGGCATGGGGATGGTGAAAGTGGATCTCCAGGCTGCTTCGTCAAGATGCTATTACCAGGCCAGGAAATTCGAGGATATGTGATCCGTAGCCCATGTTCGTGAGGTTAGGGTTATGTCATGAGAGACAGACCTTGCGGGCCTAGTTTTCTTTAGTGTCCAGTTGCTATGTTCTGGTGTTTTTTGTCATTGCGGAGATGTGCGGAGCCACGAGCAGTCGGAACGATCAGATTTTGAATCAAACGGGCTTAGAAGTGAACGGCGTGTACCTGCCCCAGGCCCAGGACGACTTGGCTTCGCCGATCCACTTCTGCCGCGCTCGGGGTGGTTCGCAGCATGCCAGCGTGTCCCAGGCATAGACTGTGTCCGCGAGCGTAGGGCCATCTGCATGTAATGCCGTAGTGCCCGTGTTGAACAGATGTTGTACGGTTTTCATTGCCCAGGCCGGGTCGAGCTCCAGCATTCTGCTAGGACATGACGTATTTCAGACGCTCTGCGAGCTGCAAGGAAGGCGTCAGTGCGAGAGTGTATTGACAGCGACACCGTGCAAAGCAAGATCTGTGAACACTGGAGGGCGATGGGACCTGATTTCGCAGTTGTGCGAGAACCGATACGTTCATGCAGTTTGGCTTAAAGCGCGTCGTTCTGTGGGCTCTGGCCTTCCACGCTTTGGCGCGACATGATATCCACATCCCCATTCCAAAGCGGCATCGTCCCGAGCCTCTCCCAGCCTCCCGCCCCGCGGAGCGGAGCGGCACGCCAGCCGCCTGCCAGGTATAGCGTGTCAGCGGGGCCGCCGCCGCGACACGCGATGCAAAAGGTCCCCACCGCAGCCCGACCTGCAGAACACAGGAAGCCCTCCCGGAGATCTGCGCTGCCCCCCCCTAAGGACGGGGCGTCCTCCAACAACACCCTCGACATGATGGCGGAGATGAGGCTCGCGGCGCTGCTCGCAAAGGGCGTCAAGAAGGACTCCACCGTCGCCCCGGCGATGGTCGCGCTCAGGATGGCGACCCTGAGCGGGGCGAAGGCCCTCGGCATCGACTCCGTCACGGGCAGCCTCTCGGTCGGCAAGGAGGCGGACATGATCTCGGTGGACTTCGGCTCGCCCTCCGCCTGGCCCGCCCCGACGGTCACGGACTCGGCGAAGGGGTTCGACGCTGTGACCCACATCGTCTACGCAAGCACGAGAGATCAGGTCTCGAACGTGTGGGTGCAGGGGAAGTGCCTCATGAAAGACCGCAAGCTTCTGTGTATGCAGGTGGACGAGCTCTGGAGGAAGGCGCAGGAGTGGGGCGCCAAAATCACAGAGGCGAAGACCGGCATGGCCAGCCCGCCGAGTTAAGAAGGGGCGGGCTCCACGAATGCTTGTTCGTAGTAGTCGCATCGGAGGGACTTGTTCTGCCAGATCAGCTGGCGTTCTCCTTCTGCGCCGCCCCGTCCATCCTCCTCCACGCCTGCTGCTGCTTCTCTCCTCCTTCGTCCCCGTGTCCCGCCTCGTGGTTTGTGCTCGTTCTCCTCAGTCACAGCCTGCAGCCCGTCTTCGTATCCCTACGCGTCTGGATCATGCGGTGGGTCGGGCACCTTCAGGGGGAGTTTCCAGCATCAAGACTCACTCGTAGAAGACGCCCACGCTCGTTGTGCGGCGCGGGGAGGCACGCCGGAGTGCGGCGGGTTGTACACAGGTTTTCTACAGGAAGACGGGGCAATCCCTGGCGACTTCATCCCAGTTGTTTCGGGATCATCTCAGCCCCTGCCGGTTTTTCCAGCCCTGGCCCTTCTTCCCAGAAGTCGTAACTTCCCGTTGATCCAGCTTCCCAGGGCATGCAGATCCGTATTACGTGCGGTTATGTTGGGGCAGTGAGGCACGGACGGTATCCAGAGCCTTGTTGCGTTACCGATCGGCTAGCATGTTGTTCTCCGGTATCAAGCCAGTCCTTCGTTCTTGGCGGCGTTGCCCTCGTTGTCCTCCTTGGAGCTCCCTCTTCCCTTGTGTTGCTTGTACTCTCTTGTTTGTATTCCGCACTCTGCATTACTTCCACCATGGATGGGGCAGTGGGCGCCACAAGCCCTCCGAAGATCCCGAAGCTCCTGGAGCTCCTGGAGCTCGGGATTGCTAGAGCCGTCGGTCCCTGAAGCTACTTGAAGTTCCGAGCGTCAGTCAGGAGCCCCTCGAGCGTCGGGAGCTGCCGGGAGCGCTGGGGCGTTCCACAGGGACTCTGGGGGACCTCCCAGGGGAGCGTCGAGCGAGCACCAGGAGAGAGCATGGCTCGTCGAGGGTGCTGGGAGAGTGCCAGGGTCGTCAGGAGCGTCGGGAGCGTCAGGAGCGCCAGGAGCGGAAGGAGCGCCTGGAGCGCCTGGAGCGTCGGAGGCGCCCAGAGCGTCAGTAAGGAGGGTCTTGAGCTTCCAGAGCGTCAGGGGCGTAAGCATGGTGTCGCAGTAGTCTAGGTCTTCGCGTTAGCGTGGTGTCGCGTAAGCATGGTGTCGCGTAACCGCGGCGTCGCGTCAGTGTGGTGTTGCATTCGCACGGTGTCACGTGAGCGTGGTGTCGCTCTGTTCTGCCGCGTCATCCCAGTGTCGCGCTAGTTTGGCGTTGAGTCAGCGCTAGTAGTGTGTAGCAAGCGTTAGCGTGGTGCCGCGTTAGCGTGGAGTCAATGTTAGCGCGGTGTTGTGCCATCCATGTGTCGCGTCAGCGTGGTGTCGCGTTTGCACGGTGTCGGGCCAGCTGACCCCATCATACCTCACGTTAACGTTGATTCCACGCTGACACTGTGGTTTCAACGCTGCAGAAACAGAACGGGCGTATGTGGGCTTGTTTGGTTGTTTGTTTGTGTGTGTGTGCGTTGGTGTAATCCGTAAGGGCTTCGCCCCCTGGTGCCGGCTCCCTTTACTATCATGATTGGATACGTAAGAGCTACATCAGGATGTGTTGGCGCCGTCTTGAAGACATGTTGATGCTGATGCCTATGTTGATGGTGATGTGCTGCTGCGGGCGCGGGTGATGAGCTGGTGATGGCGATGATGTTGATGACGGGGATGGTGATGGCATTGCGTGAAATCGAAGGGCTGCGCAAGAACTTGCAGCATCACGAGCCCATCCAGGAACGACTGATCCATGAGCCCTCCCGTCCGTGAGTGGCGAGGACACTTGAGACCTTGCGTATCGCTACCCACACACCCAGAAGCGATGGAGGAAAAGAGGATCGTGGAGGAGGAGAAGGAAGAGGCGCGATACGAGCCTAAGGTTCGCGACGATCACATAGTTTACGCGGGATCGTGACCTTGAGTGCGCGGATATTGCATCATTTACAAAAATCGCCGCTTCGGACATGCAACTGTTGCGCAATGTATACAGAATGATTATCCCGGGGACGCGACTGTAGTGTAATTTACGAGTTTGTATGGCTTCGGTGGGCGCACATATTATATTTTACAAGGGGTCGTGGCCTCGAGGACGCGAACGCAGCGTAATGTACCAAGGTGTTCGGTTTCGGGAACGCAGATGTTGTATCTTTTACGCTGGATTATGGCTTTATGGTTTCTTGTTTCGGGAACGCAAATACGGCGTAATTTACGAGGGTGTATGGCTTCGGGGACGGAACCACTGCGCAACTTACAAGGGATGATGACCTCGGTGACGCGAATGTTGCTTAATGTACAAAGGCTTATTGCCTCGGAGACGCGACTATCGTGTAAGTTATGGCTCCAGGGGGCGCATATTATTGTGTATGGTACCATGCATTGTGGCCTCGAGGACGCAAACCTGGCGTAATTTACGAGGGCTTTCGGCTTCTGTGACGCAGGGATTGTACAACTTACGCTGGAATATGGCTTCGGGGACGCGTATATTGTTCAACTTAAGAGATTATGGCGCCGCGGGCGAACATATGGTTCAATTTAGAAGGCTTTATGTTTTCGTGGACGCAAATATCGTATAATGTACGAAGGGCCTCGAGGACGCGCATTTTGTTTGATCTACAAAGGGTTATGGCTTCAGGCACGCGAACATTGCGTTATCTACGAGGGCCGATTGCCTCGGGGGCGACAGTCTCAGAAATTCTTACATGTCCCACAAGCCCCCAGATATTCCGAGACCATCTGGAGGGCGTGTTGTAGGGCGGTTTGGGCCTCCCCCCCCTCACGCGGACTACAACAGTTTACAATAGGAAGCAGGAAGTAGACCCATCACATGAGACCGTGGAAACTATAACTGGCGCAGGGAGCAGCAAGCCCAAGCCGCGCAGCCTGATTGCCCAACAAGGGCGCCAGCGGGTTTTCCGCCGCTGGCCCTGCCTGTTCTTTCCCCTTTTCCTTCCGTGTGCTCTCGCCGTCGCCGCCTTGCTGGACTGCGCCTGCACTTACACCTCCAGGCCACTGCTGGCTACTCCCCACCCGCCCTCGCTGCCCATGCCCGTGTATGCGAATGGCATGGTTGATCCGTCCTGGATCGCTGCCCTGCCTTCAGAGGGTCCAGCCGGACGCGTTGCTAGGTCGTTCCGGCTTACGTGCTCCGCCTCGTCTCTGCGCGCAGGGCCGCGATCGCCAAAATTGTGTGTTTGCGTGTGTGTGTGTGTGTGTGCGTGTGTGCGCGCAGAGCCCTTGCTCGGGCTTGCTGGCCTTTGCCTGCCCCGTGCACGAGCCCACGGCTGCGGCTGGAGCGCGTGCGGCGTGCGCTCGAGCGATATTTCGCGCGCACGCGTACCGCCTGCTACCAGTTTGAAACGTATCCCTACCATTGTGTTTGGCATCACCTCACCTCGATGCCGATCTTAAGGATTCCCTCAGTTTCGGAGGGCACATTCCGAATATTGCCTTTGCTTCTTGCTCGCCCGTCTTAAGGATGGGGATCAGTTCGAGGCTGGTAAGCCGGGGGTGGGGGAAGGAACACGTGAGCGCAGATGTAGGGAGCGCGCGTGTTTCTTTCGCCAGTGAGGTCCCGTGCCTTCGCCTCTTGCCACGACCCCGACCTTCAACTGACGTCGCGCTGTCGTGTACAACATGTCAAGCTACTTGTTTTTTTGTTGTTGCATCCCCGTGCGTCCAACTCTTGCCTCCTTCCACTTCCTTCCTCCCTCCTGCCCCTCTGCTTCCTTCCTCTTCCCTCGTCCTCGCCGATGCCAGCTCGTCCCTGCCTCCCTCCTCCTGTCCTTCCTCCCCCCTCGTTCCTCGCCGATGCCTACCTTGTCCCCTTCCTTCCTCCCTTTTCCTGCTTCCTCCCCTTCCTGTTTCCGTTCAATTTCCCTTCCCCCTCTTCCTCGCCGATGCCAGCTCGTGAAGCCTCAAGAAGAAAAGGGCTCCGTGGCCCTACCATGTGCCGCTGATTTGTGCACTGTTCCCTTGGCTGCTGGACCGGCAAGGGGGGCAGATAGGAGGCATGCGCGATGAGCAGGGGGAGGGGGATGAGAGCAGTAATGTGGAGAAGGACGAATCAAGATATGAAGTATGGGGATGATGAGAGCGTGGTAAGAGTGTGTTCGGAGGGAGGGGGAGGAAAGGAGTCCTCGAAGGACAGGGGAAGGCCCAGTTGGCGGGGCGAGTGCCATGGGGAGCCAGATAAGGAAGGATTGGGAGATTGATAGGGAGAAGGGAGAAATGGAGGTTAGCGGATCGTGAAGAGGAGTAACTCGACGGGCTAGGATGTTGATTCCATTGGCGAACGTGGAAACTATGATGACGACGATAACGAATGATGGGACGATCAATTTTGAGTGTGAGGGCAGTGGGGCGGATGACGGTGGAAGAGTCAGGAGGAGGCGGATTAGTTATGCGGAGACAGCGCCGTATGAGGACGATGATGAGGAGGATCATGATAAGGATAACGAGGACGGCCATGAGGATGCAGCGAGAGGAGAAGCACCGAGACAAGGGGGTGCAGAAAAGAATTGGTGTTGTATCAATATGTAAGGGTAATAAGGATGTGGATGCAGTGCGCCGTGAGGAGACTTGCACGGTAAGGCACGCGCATGTGTGTTACACATGTGTACGTACACATGCCCACGTATGTGTGTGTGTGTGCCAGCGCGTACCCCAAACAGTGAGATGTTGCATTGGGGACGTGCAAGCTAGCTGTTGTGACCTATAAGGTGTGGTCTGTGTGGTGTGAGCTGGGAGGTGTAAGCTGGGTGGCGCAAACTAGGTGGTGCCATAGAGGCGGCGTGAGTTGTACCGTGCAAGCCACATGGTACATCATTTGGTTGTATGAGCTATATGTTGTGATCTACCTGGTGCAGGACGCGTGGCTCCATCCATGCCGTGTTAGTTCTACGATGCAAGCCATGTGCTGCAGCCTGCGTCTTGCACTGCATGCCGTGCGCCATATGATGGGCGGCAGCGTGGCGAGGCCCCAGCGAGGCCCGCCCAGCGCACGAGCCGCTCCCGAGGCGCCCACGTGTGGCAGCGTGGGGAAGCCTCGGGAGGGGGGGGGGGGGGGGCACCCTGCGCAGGGGGGGCGCTCACGAGGAGGCGCCCGCGGGCGGCACCGAGAGTCGAGGCTTCGGTGGACGTGCCCACCTGCGCAGGCAGACAAGTAAGAGCCCCTACGGGGCAGCACCGCCTGTGGAATGTAAGCCCGACGCGTAGACAGCGTGTGCATATCTGGCCATATACATATGTAGCATCACATGCCCGCGCGGACGCGCACATACATACACATTCCAGCCGTAGATGTGTTTAGACCTGGACGTGTTAGCCAGCGTGGGTTTCAACCAGTGCATTATTGCACCGACGGTATGCGTGTTATGCTGTGTACGTAATGTGGCGATCGCTATGCCGTATACGCACTCTGGTGCGAGCGGATTAACTGGACACGAATCTCTTCATAGACTTACGTGATTTAGCCTCTTCTGGTGCGAGCGGAGGAAGTAAAGACGATGCGGTGCAAGCTACGTGGTGCAAGCTATGCTCTGTAGGCTAGTCGGTGTGGAAGCTACGTCGTACGTCAGAGGCACGGGGCGCCCGCGAGGCGGCACGGGCAGCAACGTGGCGCAACCTCGGCATGCTCCCCTCCCAGCGCACGGGCCGCCCAAGAGGCGCCCACGAGGCGCCCACGGACGGCAACGTGGCGACACCTCGGCATGCCCCGCAAGCGCGGGGCGCCCACGGGGCGCCCGCGGGGGGCAACGTGGCGCAGCCTCGGCATACCCCCCCCCCCCGCTTCCGAGTGCGAGGCGCCCGCCAATTGCCCACGAGGCTAGATGGGCGGCAAGGTGGCGACACACTGGACTGCCAGAGAAAGGTAAGAACCCACACGTGCACGCATCGTTTTATTATTATTATTATTATTATTATTATTATTATTGTTTTTATTATATTTTATTATTATTAGTATTATTATTATTATCAGTATTATTATTTTTATTATTATTAGTATTCTTAGTATTATTATTATTACTATTATTAGTATTATTATTTTCATTATTATTAGTATTTTTATTATTATTACCATTATTAGCATTATTATTATTATTTTGATTCTTTTTTAAAACAAGAGAGAAAAACAATGGGTGTATGTGTACATACATAGTATGGACACCCCAATTGCGTTCGGCCCACTCCGCCGCCGTGCGGGGGTCGTGGATGCAGCCGGAAGGGCTTTCCCCTTGTGACCTCATGGGGGTTGGTGGCATCTTGGGGGCGTCCATGGGCCCCTTGGGTGCCTATTTGGGGCTTTCGTGCGCCTCGACAGGCCTGCCATATTGGGGCGGTGGGCTCGAACTGTCAGTTCGTGTTCCCCTCGTTGGCCCCTCTTGGGGCCCTCTTGGGGTTGTCTTGGGCTGTACTGTTCTAAAGGAGGCTGGGGCAAAGGCGAGAGATAGCGAGCGTTTGTCCGCAGCCGTTTGTGTTCAAGCGGCCGGCCGCCAGCATATGACTGCGCCTCATCGCGAGGCGCACTACTTGCCACTGGGACCGAACACGCATTCGCTTGACATGGCCCGTCGCTCCCGCGACGATCTCCTACTTCTGGGACTATCGTTACTACAACAGATTTGGATATGGGCTTCGCCTTAGGCGAAGCTTCTGGTTGGGCCTCCCGGCTCTGTCAAAGTTGGTAGCTGAGCTGGCCTATGGTGGTCAGCTCTAGCTCTACTCCTCACCATCCACGGCACTATCTGGTGGACTACTGACATGGTGGAACATCCGGGTGCGGTGGGTTTGCGCGGAGGAATGTACATATCTTCGCCCAGCCGCAAGGCCATTTGCAGCGCTACCTCCGCTTTTGCGGAGGCCTCTTACGTGAGTCCTACTTCCCTGCGCTGCTACACTCCTGGAGTCCACCCTCTCACTACAATTTCAGGTTTTTTTGTTCGAAGACGCAATGCATAGTAACATGCGATATGACATTGCGTCGCCTCCACCCCCGGGCAGGTTCACTACGCCACATCATGACCCACAGCCGCGCACGTCCGTCCACGATCTAAGGCGCCATTGGGTTGGTATTACCATATTTGGCCCCCTATGGGTCGCTATCGGGTGCGCTGTTGGGCACGTGCAGCGTGGCGGAGACGACGCGCGCGCTTCCGGCCCCCGCTGGGACCCTGCTGACAATGTACCTTTCCGCGAATTTGCCCGCGAGGTACACGTTGCCACGGGCGCCGTGACCCCCTCCCAGCAGGCCGCGGCATTAAAGCGTGGTCTGGGAGGGCTCGCAAGGACCACAGCCATGAGAGTACCTTCTGGAATCATTATATTTGGCGTGAATATTGGTGGTCGCCACACTGACGGCGCCACGTCCATCATGTTCTTCTTCAGCACCAAATTCGAAAATCTAGAGCAGGAGCGTCAACTGAATTCAGGAACGGCTCTCATCGACTCTCGCGTCCATGAGGGAGAGCGGATCGACCAGACGTTGGCGCGCTGTGATATGGCACGCGTCGGGGCCGAGACCGCAGGCTTCAACATCCCCAAATTCCAGATCCTAGCAGTCATCCTGTTCACAGCTCTGGGGGTGGGTACGTCGCGTGCACAATAACTAATACAACCACTCAACCACCAAATGCAAAGACCCAGCAACAGGTTTGTTCCCTAATAGAGCGCATGAGGTCTTATGCTAAAATTGCGGGGCGAACCCCTGGCAACATCGGTGGTAGATTTAGCCGTGGCCACCGCGCCGCAACCTTTAACACCGACGCTCACGCAGGGCAGCCTGCAACCAACGTCTGGAGCGATGATCCGCAACTAGCTGAAATCAGCACCTTGTTCAGTCAACAAGTTAGCCAGCCTGCGGGGTCGCAAGACTCCTGGGCTCGCTATCAGGGGCCGTCGGCAACGGCGGCCCCTACCAAAGCCACTACCCCTGTTGGCTTTCCGGGGCAAACCGCCGAGTCTGAAATGGATTGTGGTACCGACGCCGACGCCTCATCAGATGCAGGAATTGGTGCCCCGGATTCTTCCGACATGCCTGTGCATATCACAGAAGGGCAACAGGCGCAGTGGTTATTCCAACGACACCAGAAACACAAACGCCGTTGGAGACGCTTTAGGAAGAAACCAGTTCGCAAGGTACGGCGCACGATCCGACGGGCGTTTAAAACGCCACGTTTAGACCCAAGGGTGAGGGTAGAGGCAAGGGTAAATGCAAACGACGGCGACTACATTGCAGAGGTATGCCGGCATTCGTGTCATCCCTTACTGGACCGCAGTACGAAGAAATGTTCCTGGGGACAGGTAGAGGCCGCAGGCGCACTTCAGGAAAGGGCAAGGGGCGTCGGGGCAACCCGAAGGATGTCAATGGGAAAACCATGGAATGTGATTTCTGCCGTAGCACGCAACATTTTCGTCGCGAGTGCCCCCGAGGCGATGAGAGAGGCAGGGGTCCGTCGATACATGTGGCCCAAACCGATTTGGACATTCATTGCACCCAACACGGACTCGGACATAATGAAGGTTCTCACTCCACGTTCGTAGTGCATGACCGATCCACAAGCCGCCCAGTTTGGGGGCGGGTACATCGCAATGATGACGACAAGGACGAATAGGAAGCCGAGAGTCATCACCCGCA